CCACCCTTCTTCTTGTTGGTCAGTACTTCCTGTGTCATGGCCACAGCTAACAGGCCACATGTAACAAGGACACATGCATTCTGCATAGTACGCTAGGAAAGGCATCATCTTTTGACCGCATAATACTGTAACCATTTCTCGCTGTTATCCTGTTGTTTTCATGTTCAGAATAAAGCAACCCTTGTGGATGAAACGGTATTGGTGAGTTCAGCTATCTGACCATGATTGTCCTCAGTGATTAAATCTGCTTATACAGGCCAGGCATAGAGGTCTCAGCAAGGGATAAATCGCTAGCACAACAATCGGAGTCAGAATACTAAGATCACTGCTGATGTCTTTCCTCCTTACCATTGTGTTGACACACACACACCTGAATGCTCCAGACCTGCAAACTGCTAAAACTTTGGCTTTTTAGAGGTGGTGATGCTTGCTGATGGTCAATTAATCAAGGGCATTTGATTAGCAGCACGTGGCTCCAACTTAGCCTCTTAATTCCTATTGGAGCAGTAAGGTTGTACTTAGTTTTTCATATATAACTTCTCCATTTTGGCTTTGTTTGTAAAATAAATAATGACACTGGGTAATATGTTGTTGTTCATCTGAGGTTGCTATGGACGAGATTACTTTTATTCTGTCCTGATACTTAAAACAATACAATTCAAAGATGGCGTACTTTCTTTTTCACACAACTGTATATGATAGTTACATTTTCAGTACAGTTCCATTTCATGATTATCAATCAAATATATAAACATTTTATGTCTGGAAATCTGCTTTAACCTCATAGCTACCTAGTTTAATGATAAACCAGTGTGTGCCTTATGCAGCTGGATTTGCAGGCTTAATGAATATCACTTCTTTAGGTATGGCCGATGCGAGGCTTTAGGTAGAGTATTTTCAGGCAGCGCAGTGGTTAAGCCGTTGCCTGGGTTTTAACAGCAAGGTAGACAAGCAGAAATAGAGGAACAGCAAAGTGACAGCACTGCCTGGGAACATTTGATAAGAGCCACACTTGCAATTACTTGTAGACACCTGCACCTGCAATGTGCGCGCTGCCCTGACTCTAGAAATAAGCTGGTGTCTAGACATAGCTGGTGGCTTTGTGACTTCTGACCGCTAAAGGCATTGCTTGCCAAAAATCTCCGGAGTAGGACACATCGGGGGGTTGTGAACTCTTGAGGAGCATGTGTGTAGTAACTATGGGTTACTAGATTTATCTTCGCTTTGATCTAGTGCAGGTTAGACTATAAAAGCACATGCTTATTACTGAGAACTATTGTATTTTTGCACATAATTAGTGTTGTTTTATGACACCCATGTTAGACAGAGTGCTTTGAAGTGTCACTTTTTTCATTTGTCACTTGGGACTTTGCTGATGTTCGTGCTGCAACAAAGAGTTTATTTCCAGCATTGTTTTTCTGCAATTAGAACTTATACATTTGAGTTACACGTTGGGGAATCCTATACATTTTCTGAAATAAGGGGCCTTAAAGGAGAACTATGGGGTTAGGGCTTTTCCCCATAGTTCTCCTCAGGGTAACGGGAGGACACAAACTAGCGTCAATCTTGGATATTTCATAAAATACCTTCTTATTTAAAGGAGAACTATAAGGTGAGTGATTTTCACTCAACCTCATAGTTCGAGCCGACCTGTGGCAATGAAACTGTCACAGGTCGACTCTATAGCTCGGGAAGTGAACGAATACATACCGTCGCTCGCTCACTTTCAGATCATCTCCCTGCAGAGAGCCGAATCTTGGTATATAGTGAGCAATAGCTCGCTATATCCTGAGCTTTGGGTCACGGGAGGACAATAGTGTATGTCCTCCCGTGACCCTTAAGAGAACAATGGGATAAAAAGGTTACCCCACAGTTCTCTTTTAACAGACATGTTTAATCTTACTTTGTCTTTTATTGAACAAAAGGTTTAAACAGTGAAGATCATTATTAAACTGGTATGTGAGCCTCTAAAATGGTCATCTCTGAGGGTAGTTGGCCCCTTTCACATGAACGCCATCAGTTCAGTCAAGGTTCACGGATACAAGAAAACTGAATCGGTGTACATCATTTTGCACATCCGTTGTCAGTTCAGTTTACATCCGTTTTGAACTTTTTATTATGGTAATTTCCCATGATTCTTTGCTTTCCCCCAGCACACATTGAGCTTGCCATGCTGTATTACATGATGGTAATAGTTTACATCCGTTTTGAACTTTTTATTATGGTAATTTCCCATGATTCTTTGCTTTCCCCCAGCACACATTGAGCTTGCCATGCTGTATTACATGATGGTAATAGTTTACATCCGTTTTGAACTTTTTATTATGGTAATTTCCCATGATTCTTTGCTTTCCCCCAGCATACATTGAGCTTGCCATGCTGTATTACAACATCAGTTCCAAAAAACGGACGTAACCTGAACTGATGTAAACTGATCATCAGGTTATATCGGACCCGATCAGTAAAAACAGAGAGCTTCTCCATCTCAAATTGCAGACCTCAACTGACACTGATGTTTCCTGATTTAAACTGATGGTCATCTGTTTTCATCCGCACTGCCATAGAGATGCATTGCTGTCCGTTTTTTCATCTGCAAACGGAGGGTTGAACCTGACAACCTGAACGCTCATGTGAAGGGGGCCTAAAACCATTTTAAACCATTTTAATCCATTTAATTTTGGGTTTGGGCTGACTGCTGTATAGAAAAAAAAAACCCCACTCAATCATAGTGCCTTCAGCATTGTGGCTGTGCGGCTGCAAGGCTCAATTCAAAGATATGCTACACAATTTTGAAAAAGGAGATAGTGACATGGTTAAGGATCTCTAGGACATGCTAGTCCTTTTAGCCAATAGACTGTACATACAGCATGTGGCAGTATCCTGCCATAGAGTACACCTGCTTGAGATGGGTAGCCCATTATATTATACAGTAGGGAGCTGATGCATTCACAGTGTATTACAGCCCACCAGCAAAGTTGATCTATTAGAAAGTAATTCTATTGTAATCTAGCATAGTGTGCGGTGATTCTTTCTAATAGATTGCCTGTCAAGGGAGCTAGTGGGCTAAGACATAGTTTGAATCCACCAGATCCCTACCATATAATATAATGGACTCTCTATGGCATAGTACTACCACATATATACAGACCACTGGGTCCTTACCAAGCCTCTGCACATCCTTACTCAGAATAATGGTTATGTATGGCGCATTTCGAAAAGCATTCCATTTCTAAGCATCATTACCCATAGCTCATTAAAATCAGGGGCTCGGCATACAAAGCTGTATAAAAACTAGTTTAAAAATATGTATTTATTATCTCTGCATTGTACTGAGAGAGCTTTGGATGCTGTTTTTTGAAAATAAATGTGCACTCTCAAAAGACAATGTCACCCATTTAAAGTGACAGTACCTTTTTAAATACAACCC